TCCTGGCTCAGGGAAGAGGGCCCCAGCCTCTCGAAAGGCCCATCTTGCCCAGAATTAGGAAGAAGTCAAGGCCCGAGAGAAGGCAGAGGGCGTACGAGCTTCCAAGGGACCAGCGGCCACCTTGGCCCCCCGGAAGGCTGTGGGAGCCCGGCCAGCCGCAGCTTGGTGCCTGACGGTGGGGTGACGGATGCGCGGTTCCTGGTTGCCAAGGGCCCGTACCTTCCACTGCCTCTGTGTGCCCCGGCCAGCTGCTGGACAAAGAGAGCCGAGGCAGTTGGGGACTTGGGCAGCCAGGCAGCTCCCCTCTGTGCTGACAGATGGCTTCAGGGAAGATGGCTGCCACCAAGCCCCTTTTGGAAACCCTGTTGGGAATTCAGCAGACCTGGAGGGGAGCGGCGTGGCCCCTGAGTGGCCAAGGCTGCGCTGGTGTGAGATTACCCTTCAGCCTTTCAGAGGGCGTCTGCGCCTGCCTGAATGGGCCTTTCTTGTGCTCCCCGTGTGAAGATGGCAGACAAAGGGGACCCTTGTCACGGGCAGAGGCCCTTCTCAGGAAGAAAAGCCATTCTCCCGCCAACAGAAGCGGCCTGGCGTGCTTCGGTGCCCCCATGATATCGCAGAGGACACGGAAACCCTGTCAGCTTTGATTAGCGGGGTCTCACGGCTTAATGGGCCACTATATTTCATGTTGGAGGGATGGCGGCCGCCTCGGGGCAGCATGAATGCCCTCCATTGTCTGTTGAGTTATTTTATTTACGTTTTTTTTTACAGCTCATAAAGGTAAAAAAAGAAGATAGCCATGCCTGTAAAAAAAGAGGGGCGGCTTGTGCTTTGGGACTGGGGTGAAGGGGCGTGTTTCTGTGGGCTGCCTGGAGTGGAGCAAGTTTTCTTAAAAGCGCTGCTCTTGTTTAAGGGGCGTATATTAAATTCAGAACAGGTGGGGCAGAAACAGCTTGCTTTCTTCCTGGCTACAGGTATGGCTGAGGCAACTTCCATTTTGACTTTCTAGCCTGGGAAAAGTCCGTTCCTTTATTTTTTGGAAGGCATTCTGGATTACTAGGAGCAAGGGCAAATGCTTCTTTCAGTCAGATTTTTCAGTGTTGCTCTGCTAAGTAATTCGGAGTTGGATCCACGGGAAATGTTCTTTTCCCAACAGCCCTGTGAGAGGCTGGCAAATGATTGGAGGTTGCCGGTGTGCGTGCGCGTGTGCGTATCTGTCTGCGCATCTGTGAAGGAAAGAGTAGGGAATGGCTTCTCTCTGGCAGAAGGACACGATCCCCAGGGAGGGCGAAGGAAGGGACCGCTGCGTAGAGCCTCCATTTTTAGAGCTAGCGTGTCCCTGGATAGCAGGGTTCAAAAAGAAGGGAAGGGCTGCAGCCTTCGGGCCCGCTGGTGGGCTTCCCAGTCGGGCCTCTCACTGGTCACTGTGGAAAGCAGAGGTGCAGCTGGGCAGACATTGCAACGGTCCAGCATCATCACGCTTCTTACCGGCCTAGCCCTCAGCTGCCATTGCTAGTTCCCATTAGATTCCAGAGAGCAAGCGTTCCCAAGTGTATACAAGAATAACAGCAAGGGAACGGCATAGATGAGCAGTTGGGTATGTTGAATTTTTCTCTCGCCAGCCCCCTCTCCTCCGCTCCCTTCTCATTTCCAAGGCGGATCCAAATAGAAGCCTGGGAACGGCTTCGTGTCTCCACCCCCCTTTTTGTTGTCTGCTTTTCAGCTGGTGCAAAGTTAGGTTTGTAGTGGAGGGTTGGGATTGCTGTGCGAGAGGTCTGCATTTTAAATGCCGCGTGCCCTTGGGAAAGGGTTGCGTGTCGCTTTATGCGCACTTCTGAATGAACGGTCAGAGACATCTAGGGCTTCCTGCGCTTGCTGTGCGTATCTCTGGGGAAGGAGCTTTGTTTGTAAAGGCTGAGTCAGGTGTGCGCACACCTCCGCGCTCCTAGACCAGGCACACACGAACATCCCTACCAGAGGTAGATAAGACCCGCGGAGTTCTGGTGCTCTCTGATTGCTTAGCCAGCATCATCAGTGCTTGCAGGTGCTGGGGATGAAACGTCTGCGAGCAAACCACCCAGCTCAGGGAGCACCAAGAACTGCACAGTTCAGCCCTGAGCTGCAGAGATTCTCTTCTGCTGGAGTAAATCAAATCTGCAGTGCCACGTTGCTCCAGGGTGCCAGCTGGGCAGCCCACCGTGGCCCACCTGAGGACGCTCCATTTCATTCCCACCTTCTCTGACCCTGATCGCTCTCTCTCACAGTTGGGCTGTTTTTCCTGTCTCTGTTCTTTGGCCTTACGCGTTTTACTTCCCTTGTCCTGCCCCTTGTTCGGGCATGTGGAGGGGTGTCCCTAACTGACTGAAAATGAACCTGAGGCAATTGGGCCTCGCTTCTTGTCTCAAGGGGGTCTCCAAATTGTTGGGGGGACTGCTCTGGGGTAGAGGGAGCTGGCAGAGTGACCCGCATCTGACATCTCAGCAGTCCCTTCACTGGATATTGGTTTATTTACTCTTTAAAAGGAGTCTCCGAATAGTTTTAGGGTTTCCAAGCTGTTTGGAAGGTTAAAAGGAAGGAGACCTGTAGGCCCTGCCCACGGCTGAGGAGCTCCTGGCCTCCCAGATGTTGCCGAAAGACAGCTAGGCCCTGCTGTAACCTTTCCAGCCCTGCCTGTGGGGCAGTCAGTGTTCATCTTTGCTGGCCAGAGGTGGGTCGGAGTTATGCTGGCGCTCATTTCCCCATGTCCTATTCCCCCTCCCCCCGCCCTTCCCAGTTAGCTGGGGAGCAGAATAAATTATTCTGCATTTTCTCAGCTTCATCTCTCTTGGGAGATGCAGGTTAGCAGCAGTGTTCCCACAATGCTCTTTGTGGCAACAGTCACTTGCTGGGAGATGTGTCCCTTCCGGAATGAGCGTATGTTGAGAGGGAGCATGGGGGCCTCTTTCTGCACCTGAATTGCTGGAGGGACCCAGAGAGAGCATTTTGTAACCCCAGGGAGCGGCCTGGCGGCCTAGCCCGTGTGAATGCACATCCACAAACACTTTCTGCCAAGTCTCACTGACTGCCTCTTTAACAGTCCTTTCCCCACCCTTCCTTGCTTCCTAGGCTGCCACTTTAAGTATAAAACTGAAACTACAACCAGACCTGGAGTTTGAGAAGGTAAATTCCATGCAAAATGCAGATTTCCTGGGGGTCATTTACCTCTCTTCCTGCTTCTCCCTGAAATGCTAGCCATCCATCTGCAGGGACGGAGAAAATTCAGGGTGGTTTGGCCTGGTCGGGTAGCTCTTGTGGGGCTTATTCATACAACCTTTTAAGACTTCAGGGAGTGAGGTGTGCCACCGTGCCTTCCCCCTTCTGTGCCCTAGATGTGCGTTCCGTTGCTGCTTCAGAACAGAATGGAACTCGTAACGGCTTACGTGGGAGACAGCCCTGAGCTGCAGCGGAGCCTCTTGCAGCTCCTCGACTCGTGGTCTGTGCCAGGCTTCCAGGTCAAAGACCTTGCAAGGTGAGGGGGCTGCCGGGGGGTCACTCAGGGAGGACTTCTTTCCCCCAGGAAACCCACTCTCCCGCAGCCAGCTGAAACCTCCATTCGCGTTTTTTTGGCTTCTTTTCAGACAGTATCAACCCCTGCCTGGCACGTGGCCAGAAAAGATTAACTGCAGGACAATGCATAAAATGGCCTTCCGGTTCCTGGACAAGTACAACCTGGACCCAGGTGGGCACGTCAGGGATGTTCTGCGGGTGGGAAGCCCTAGCCCCGGGGGACTGGGAGCTGGGTGGGTCTGGGGTTGCTCAGGGTCATTTCTGTTGACGTAAATGGGTTTCAAGGGACCCCACAGCACCTTGCGCACCCTTCATTCTCAGCCCAGAGCCTGCTGGGAATTCTGTAGGGCAGCGTTGCAAAGCGGGAGCAAAGTAGCACGGCCAACTGAAGGGCAAGAGAGCTGTACAGACAGCATCTCTGTGGGTGAAAGGGGATGGCTTTGGGCTGAGTGTTCTCCCTGATGGAAGAGGTTTCTCTGTGGGTGTGTGCATGAGCGAGAGGGAGAGAGAGCGCGTGCGCACACTGGGCCGGGCAGTCTGAAGGGACAAGGGAGTCAGAGCGGTTTCAGCATGAGAATCCCAGTTTCTGCCCAGAGACAACCGCCCTGCCCAGAGATAATGCACGGCCCCGACCCTGCATGTCCTCCTGGCCTGGGAAACAAACGGTATTTTTCATTGGTTGGATGGATTGCCACATACACGCTCCTTCCTTCAAATACACTTTCAAGTATATCTTTTTTAAAAAATCGGAGCTAGAAATTGGCTTTAGAAAACAGCTCCAGCCTTTCACGATTGCCCGTGCCCAGTGCTGCCACCTGTGTTCCTTCTACTTCCTCAGCACTTTTACAGAATTCCAGGACACACAGTGACCTGCTTCCTTTAAATGCACACACTTCATGCTCAAGCAGGATTATTCCGTGCTGATAAAATAAGAGATGAGTACAAGGGTTGGTGGTTGTTTGAATCGCCCCCCTCTGATTTGCAAGACCTCAGCACAGCCTTTCTCAGCCTGGGTGCCCGCCCGTCAGCATGGCTGTTGCCGAGAAATTGGGGACTGAAGTCCACACATCAGAGGGCGCGCTGGCTGCCTGGGGATTACAAGCACCAAACGTGCCTGAAAGAGCCAACACGGAGAAGCCTTGCAGGTGGCGGTGGGTTGCTCTGAGAGATGAGCTGCGTGCCAACAGCAGAGGGTAGGAGAGAGCTGCCCAAAATGTGGCCTCTTCCCTCCTGCATCTGTCTGGGCGAAGTGCTCTCTCTCTCTCTCTCTCTCTCCCCTGCTTGTTTGTTGCTTGGAATCACTTATGGTGTTAAAAAAGTCAAGGGGGAGTCGAGTAACTCAGCCTTCCCTGTGCTGGTCCCTCCAGATCTGTTGGGACTACAGCACCCCACGTCCGCAGCTTCCGCTCACGGCGGGGGTGAAGGAGGCTGCAGGGCCTGGGCAGGTGGCAGAATGAACCCTGCAGAACCCCCCGGTCCCTTCCTCTGCTTCCACTGACCCGTCCTTTTTCCTCTCCCCCCCTGCTGCTATAGCACTTTGTCCCAATATTCTCAACCAGCGATACCTGGGCACTTTGAAATACCTGCTCCACAAGAGATTTGTTGAGGTACGTGGTGGGAACGGGGAGGGTGTCACAAGGCCGTGGAGGTTCCAGCATCTTCACAGAGTTGTTTTGCAACGTCTCTTGCAGAAAACCATGACGCAAGAAAACTGGGCTGATCACGTCCAGGTCAGTGTGATTTTGCTTCCAGCCGGTCAGGTCTCTGTGGCTGCCTTGATGCTGTCCACAAGCCATAATGTGGCTGGCTTGGTTTGGGTTTAGGGCTGTATACAAACCATTTATTGTGGTCTGCCAGTTACGGCTTATGGCTGATTGTTGTTATATCTTGCTCTACAGAGGATAGTTGAAACCAACTTTGATTAGTGCAGTGAGTGGATCTAGTTTGTGTCCTCTGTGCTAAAGAGGATGAAATGTCTGCATCCTGAGGATGTAGATTCTGCATCCGAGGATAGTTGAATGTTTTTTTCCTGCTGAATGCGTTCCTTTTTGTTTTTGTTTTTGTTTTTGTTTTTGCTTTTGTTTACTAATGCAAAATATATTTGGTTTTTTTCCTAGTCATTCAGATCTTAACACTTAATCGTTGCAAAGATTTCAGCTGAAACCCATTACGCATCTCTCCACATTGATAATGGCTACTAGGTTTCTTTTTCGTTGATGAGACTGCCTGCGTTAGCCTCAGTTACATTTTGAGGTGCATTTGCCAACTTGGGGCAGCAAAGCCAGAAATTGTCCCTGGAGTTTGTTTGCTCCAAAGTGGCAATGTGAGCGTAGACTTAAAAAGGTTACCTTGGAGAGCGTAAACCATACCAAATTGGAAGGAAATGAGAAACTCTTCCTGACTTTAAAGAATGCTTCTGTCTCTGGAATGTTGTAATTATGGATTTAGGGGAATCCTAGTTGGATTGCCAGGTATGAATTTCTGAGTGCATTCAGTCTGCCCTCTCAAGCATCCCGTCTCCACAACAGAAAGCGCCGGGGAATTTAATGCATTGAGGGAGATTAAAAAGAGGGAGAAAATGTCTCTGACAGTCCTTCCATTTGTTAAAGATCTTGCAAACATACTGTGCACTGCTTTGCCCTGCAGCCAGGTGGACGCCTCAAATAAGCACAAGGAGCTGTCTCCGCCGTGTTTTGCGAAACAGGGTTTATCGAATGCGAGAGCAGAGCCTTTAGCTTATCTGTAGCTCTAGGGGGATGGAGCTGGACTTTGGAGGGCATATTCCTTCCCCTTGCCCGTCCTCCCAGAAGGACCCCCAGCATGTGTCCAGCTGCCGCAGCAGGGAGAAGACTGCACTTGGTCTTCCGCCCTGGCCTCGTTTTCTGTATCTCTGCGGTTGCTTCGGTTAATGGGGAAATGTGGAAGCGGCTGACGAACCCCCTTCCTTCGGCTCAATCCCCATATCTGGTCCACAGCAGCAGGCTGTCGCTGTGAGCCTTCCACCATAGACCTCAACTGAGGAGTGGGGGACGTCCCCCGCCTGAGCGTGCGGATGGGGTGAATCCAAGTCAGGCAGCGCCCCGTGGCCGCCTCTCCCATCTTCCGCGTCTTCCGCGGGTGCAGATGCGGCCTGCTCGGTGGAATGTGACTGCGGAGCTGCCAGGCCTCATTCCTGAGATGCCTTGAGCCACCTGAAGGTGTGGCCCTCCTGCTGGAGTGGGAATCAACCACCGAGGGCCTCGGGGGAAGAAAACAGTGGCCAAGTGCTTGCGGGCTCTGCCCCCCAACAGCCCCGGAGGAGGAAGCGGGACCAGGCCGGAGCCGTGGCATCGCTGGGCAAAACAAAAAGGCTCTATGCAGGGGGAATCCCTGCCACGCGGCAATGCCACGCAGAGAAAGGTGGACATGGCCGGAAGAACCTGGCCGGCCTGGCCAGGCAGCCACCCCGGGCGGGAGGCAAAGCGAAGCCGCTGCGTTTGCCAGCGGTGGGCCTGGAGATCCGCTCAGCCACGCTTTTGGTCTCAGTGGGGTGGCCTTTTCTTATCATTCCTGGCCAGTGACCGCATCTTGCGAGGGGCTGCCTTTCATTTTCACTTTTTAGGCCCTCAAAGTAATTCCTGTGCATTAGCTACTTCCTTATCCTGCACTTCCTGCTTGGGGTGGCTTTCTCCCCCAGCTTCATCTTCTCCAGGGGCCCGCAAGGTCACCTGCCCCAAGGTCGCTTGGCGTGTTGGACTGGAAGGCAGTTCCCCTCTGCTCCCCTCCAGCCCTCAGCTTGCTCGGAGGAGGAGGAGGAGGAGGAGGAGGAGGCGCTGCTGGCTCCTTCCAGGGAGTTGCACAAGATCCTTCGGCTCTTGCTGCCTCAGCAGCTCCGGAGGGAACAAGGCAAGGTTCCCACACGTTCCCTTTAGCTTGAGAGAGGAATGCAGCCCAGCCGGTGTTTTGCCTCTGGTGCCGAACCCATAAAGCAAAACTGGAACGGTGGGAAATGCAGATGCAGAAAGCTCCGATTTCAGACTTGCCAGCCTCTTGAAAATCCCACACAGAAAGGAGAAAGGGAAGGAGATGCCCTCCTTTCAGGGATGATGAGGATAATGATGATGATGATGATGATGATGTTTCCATGTAGCTCTTCCTCCCAAAGGGGTTTCCTGGAGGGCAGGGGGGCAGGCTTAAATAAAACCATGACCTAACTGTTTTAGAAGAATAAATACAATAAAAAAACACACCGTTTGCTGTAAAAAAAAAAAAAGCAGAACTAACAACAGGCAGGTCTAAAGGCAGCGTGTTGCTGGAGAAGCTACTGACCCTCGTTTCCCCCATGGCTGGGGTGGGGATCCACAGGCCCCCCGCGCCCCTTAGGGGTGGCTCTGGCTCAGAGGACGGGCCGTGGCCACCCAGGCCCCTGGGCCTGCCCCTTCCTTCCCGCTCCTTGCAGGCACTAGCGTGATCGCTGCACCCGGGAGAGCTCCAGATCCCTTCTGTGCACCGTATAGTTTGACTCCAAAATACTCGGGAGGGGGCTGCAACGCCCAAAGCGGGTGGGCTCGGCTGCCTCCCGGCCCACGGACATCCCTCTCTCTCTCTCTGCTTTCCAGGGCATCGTCCAGGACAATCGGTGGCTGCAGGAACAGCTGGTGGAGCTCCTGGTCCGTTACGCTGGTCTGGGGGTTGCTGCCCTGTGGGCTCAGCGCTACAGCCTCCCTGGGGACAGCTCACCCATTGGCCTGGCGGGCAAGATGGAGGAGCTGACCATCCTGGAGAGGTAGTGAGAGAGCGGGCAGGCAGGCAGCAGTTGGGGCAGCTCGGCCTCGTGCGTGCAGAGCACAGCCCCAGTGCGAATGAATAGTTGTCCTTCCCCATGGCCTATAGAATCAGTCACACGCTCCCTCCATGCAAGGCTAGCAAATATTCTTTCAAGTAATAGACCAGCGGCTGCGGCCATATGGGAACAATCCTGCCAGAAACGTGTGTGTTGAGAACGGAGGAAAGGAGAGGATTCTCCCTCGGCCTGCCTTGGTTTTCCACCATTTGAATGGCTGGAGAGACACAGTTGGGACAGAGCTTCCGGCCCTCCGGCAGGGACCCTTCTGAATGCTGTCTCGATTCAGAGTCCTCTGCCTGGGGTGTGTCTTTCCATGTCTCCTAGACCTGGAACAAGGGGAGAGTCAGAAAAGTCCAGGTGGGTCTGATGGTATCCTAAGAGGCTTTTTCTGCAAGAAAGATGATAAAATCATGAAGTGCAACACAAAGGGTGTAACGCTTCCATCTTCAGATGGGGGCACCAAGTGGGAATGCTCCCCAAGTTCACAAGCAAACTTGCAAGTAAAATTCTAGCCTGCTAATTATTTTTCTACTCACAGGGACATTGTTTCAAAAGAGCAGGGTGTTTTCAGAAATGGCTTCTTGACATACAGTTTGAAGTAGTGTGCTGTGTTCTATCACATCCTAAGACTGAAGAAAAACAATTTTTGGTGCCCCATATGTATCCCCAACCTGCGAGGTCCGTGTGGATCCTGTGCCTCTTCATAATGTTGTTAGTTGCTGCACACAATTTCTCCTGCTGTCTTTGCTCTGGGACATATTTATAACTGGAGGGAGTGTCTTCCTGCCTTCTGTTTTCTAAAACAAGTCCCCCTCCTGCCCCCCAGGGAAGATGCCTCAGAGCAGACCCCGAGTGACTCTTGGGACAGCCAGAAGGAGTGCTGCTATCAGCTCCCTGTGCCCAGGGAAGACATCCTTTTCTTATCAACTTGGGAAGAGGTGATGGCGTGCAAGGAGCGTGTGCTCCAGGTGGGGAATTCCCTGGCCTCTTCCTTGCGTCCCTCCTCTAGGGGCTGGGTTTTCTTTCTGGCTTAGAAGGTCCCCTGGATGTTTCCCTGCTTTCACTGAGTCAGTTAATGGTGGTGAAGGATACCCTTCCCTGATAGTCCCCTCTGGGTATTATTGCTGACTTCTGGCCAAAGACTCTTTGTGCCAACCGTTTCTTTCAGGTACTCTGTGGGGCCCCTGGGGCCCCTTCCACAGATCCCACCAAGGGGAGTCAGGCTGCAGTGGGATTGGGTCTTCTGCTGCCTCTGGAGCAGCGTCCTGGGCTCCAAGATAACCCGCCACCCTTTGTCCACAGCCTGGCCAGGTCGTTGGGATCGACATGGAGTGGCGCCCGTCGTTCAGTGCCATTGGAGGGAAGCCGCAGGTCTCAATTGTTCAGCTGGCGACTTGGGGCCACGTGTTCCTCTTGGACATGTTGCAGCTGCTCCAGCAGGGAGGACAGGAGGCGCAGGCCACCTTCTCCAGCTTCTTCCAGGCTCTCCTGGCTGACCCAGCCATTGTGAAACTAGGCAAGTGGCCCTTCATGTTTAGGGGCCCCTCCTGCTGAGGGCACTTCAATGTGGCCAGGGTTGCATCAGCAAGAGCTCAGAGAAAGGAGGAACCCTTCGAAACAGAGGAGAGTCGGCGCTGGAGACAGAGGGGCTAAGAAAAGGCCCTGTTTGGTGGACAGGCAGGGCCAGCATTCCCCCCCACCCCCGCCCCAGCTACTGTCCCAGGGAGGCTAGCAAACAGGCTCAAGCGAAGCTGAATTTTTTAAAACACAGAATAAAAAGTTGCTGTAACTTTATAGCTGAAATCTGCTTTTCTGAAGAAGTCCACTAGGCCTCCTGGTTTAGATCTGTCTTTAACGTGTCGCTTTGAATCTGCTGCTGTTAAGCACTTTCTCTCTGCAGTTTAGTAGATCTTGAGTAGATTTTTGTGATAATGGTCATAATTGCTAAGTATACATCTGCCGTTGAACCGAAATCCTGTATTATGTATGCTTCCTCCACTTTCTTAATAGTAGGAGAGAGGATTTCCGGACTGAGTTTTACCTTCAGGTTCTGCAGCAGCCGAGTTCTGAGGCAAACCAGCCCGGGACAGGGATGACCAGCCACCGCTTGGCTTTGCTTCCTCTCTGCAGGCTATGGGATGTCAGGAGATCTGCGTAACCTCATGGCAACCTGTGGCGCTTTCAGAGATGCCAACCCGCAGCTCTGTGGACTTCTGGACCTCCAGCTGGTACACCAAAAGGTAAGGAGAGAAACTGGGACTTCTGGCTCGTGGAGGCAATCTCTGCTTTGTTCCCAGGAGGAAAGAACCCTCCAGCTGGGCCCAGGGCTGTGCAGATCAAGCCCCGTCTGAGTCCGCTGCGGTGTGTCTGCGCAATACCGGCCTTCTCACCAATGCTATGCAGAGGCACGCTGCTGTGGCGTGATGTTCTTTGGGAACTTCCATTTTTCAGCTTCTCCGAACCTGGAAATGCAGGTTCCCCAGACTCAAGACAACCCAAATCCAGTGTGAGGGAGACACCTGGACGCTACCCCACCTCACCTTCCTTCCTTCCTTCCTCCTCCAGTTGCCCAACCGCTCCAAGAAGAGCTGCCAGCCACCGGGCCCTTGGCAGGCAAAGGGCAAGGCCTGGGGGACCAGGCTGCCCGAGAAAGGGCTCAGCCTGCTGGTCCAGGAGGTCCTTGGCAGACCCCTCAATAAGACAGAGCGGCTTTCCAACTGGGAGAGGAGGCCCCTTCGGGAGACGCAAATCCTCTATGCAGGTCTGGCTCCCTTGCCCTCCTTCGAGCTGAGAAGCCAGGCCTTTCTGCTGGGGGGCGGGTGCAGTGGCAGGAGGGGGAACCTCAAGACCTGGGCTGCAGAAGCAATCCCACCTTTTCTCTCCCGGGAGCCTTCTGCGTGGTCACTGGCAGGCACTGTTTCTGCCTCAGCTTCTCTGATACTGCCCTACCTTACAGGGCTGTCATGAGGTTTCTAGAGAAGATACACGCGAGCAGCTTTGAACACTAAGTCGGGCTTTATAGCAACAACAATGGTTGTGCCTCTCTGCAGCGTCTGATGCCTACTGCTTGCTCGAGGTACATGCAAAATTGTTGAAGGATCCAGCCGTCTTTGGTCTGAGTTCTGATATGATGACGATGATGAGGAAAGCAGATCCCAAGGCGAAAACAAGGAAGCAACTGAGGGAGCAGGAAGCACCACCCTCTCGCAAGGAGGTTTGTGGGAATGGGGCCATGAGCCAGGAAGAAGAGGGGACCTCTGCTGGGCAAGCCTCTGCAAGAGCTCCACGTTGGATCCGTGGGCCAGCGTTGGCCTTGTCGCCCCTCAGCCTCAGCCTCAGCCAGCACTGCTTTGGGCTCCCTTCCCTCCTCCTGGGACTCAGCATCCTTCTGTCTTGGGGACCCAGCATTACAAAGGGGCTTTAGCACCAAGCCCCCCTCCAGCAAAATGGGGCTGGATCACCCAGGGGCCCATTTTCCCCTGCAGATTCCAGCATCCATCCTGGAAGATGCCCCCAGCTCTTCGGCCACCGTCTTGGCGCAGGACTTCCGCGTGGTCTGTGACAACATGCTGCAGGGCCTGGGGCGATACCTGCGCTGCCTTGGGCTGGACGTGCAGATCCTGGGGAATGACGACGAGCATTGGAGGGCCGCCGAGGTCGGTGGCCTTTGGGCCGGGAAGAGAGAGGGGTCCAGGCTGCGGCAGCCCCGGTCTTCCCTTTCTGGCTTTGGAGGATGGGCGCTCTGCGTGTACCTCCGAAAGGGGCACGCGTCCCAAGGCAGGCGGTGTGGGCCCTATCTTAGGGCTGGCCGGGCAGTCTGGCCCTACACTTTGAGCTGCTGCAGAAGCCCCAGGTTCAGTTCCCAGGAAGCTCCTCGGCTGCCCAAGGGGGTGCCAGGTTTCCAGCCGCGTGGAGGCGTGTGGGAGAGGGGAGCATCACCTGCAGATCGGAGGCCGTGTGGCTGAACCCAGAGACAAGCTCAGCTCAAGCCTGGCCGTCCCACAACCTTCTCCGTCCTCAGAAAGGGTGTCTTGTCTCCGTGGAGACCGGGCGGTTGGCCTTCTGAGTGTTACTGTGCAGGCAGTGGCTTTGATCCACGCTTGGCTAATCAAAGATACCGAGCCCCTTCCTTCCCTTTCTCCTCCCAGCACCCCCGGCCCCCCATCTCCCCAGCCCTTTTCTTTGGCTTAATAAGAAAAATTGGGGCTGATGAGCTCTGGCATGTGGATCAAAAAGCCCTCGGAAAAGAGCTGCCAACTCAGCCTCAGGTGGGGCTCCAGGCTGGTGGGGCAGGTTGGCTTCTGCCCCCCCCCCATGGCTTTGGCTGACTCTGGGATTTCGCAGGTGGAGGGCGGAGTAGCACGGAGAGGGTTGCTGTGGTTGTGGCCCCAACCTAGAAATGAATGGTTGCCCACCTTCCCTAAATCAGGGAAAAATAAAATAAAAGGCCGCAGAGGACAGAGCACTGAGGGCCTGATTGGTTAGCGAAGCTTGTTCTGAGAGCAGCGGAAAGCTGCCACAAAGCCCTCTCTTACCCTGGGCCAGGCACTCAGGCGTGCCTTCTGCACAGATTTGCTCTGAAGATAAAATGGCATCAATTGAATTTAGATCTTTTTAATGTTTACATTCTAAAATGCTTTTAACTTAGACTAAACGTTAGCATTTAATATAAGTCCATGTATGAGATGCCATACGCTAAATAAATAAATAAAATAATGGCATCAAGGGAGCTTTAAGCAAATGTGGCGGGAGTCGTGGCCCGGTACCAGACTTGCTCCAGATCTATTCAGTCCAGCATGCGGTTGGGCATTTGCTAGTTAAAACAAATGCCCAACAGCTTTTGTTTTGCTTTCTCTCCCTGCATCAGCCAGGGAAGGGATGGCCCTGCGCCTTAGATGCCTCCAGTTGCAAGCAAGCTGCTGTTAGTTTGTGCCCAAAGTAAATCCAGCATTTATTGATCCCTTTCCAGATTGCCAGGAAAGAAAATCGAGTGATTTTGACCTCCGGCCTTCCATTTCAGTCGGTGAGTGTGTAGCGGACATCTGGTGTGAGCTCTCTGAAGAAGACTGTGGGTTCTTGAGCTGCTGGTCTTGTTTCTGGACCTTTAAAAATATTCCTCTGCTTCCACCCCCCAACAACTGGAAAATAGCCTCCACTTAGCCCCTGTGGTACCAAGATGTGGAAGCTGGTGGCTGTCTCTTCCTTTCATGACTAGGCTGGAATTTCACCGGGGAGCTTCCTGGCTGCCCCTTCAGTTTCTCTCCCTCACCAGCTCTTCCCAGTCCCAGCGGCGGCTTCCCCAGGTGATCTCCAGGCCCCTTTAAACATTCCCTCTACCAGACCCCTTTCTTGCTCTTCCACAGCTGCGGTCCCAGGTGGGCGAAGGTCAGTGTTTCTCAGTGAACTGCTCGGAGAAGGCCAGGGAGCAAGCCCTCCAAGTCTTGAGGCACTTCAACGTCCGGGTGGCCTTGGCCGATGTTTTCAGCCGCTGCCAGGTAAGACGGCTGGGCCCTCCCTGCCCTACCCCCCGGGTCTTTTGGCCTCTTGCAGCTTTCGCAGGGGTCTTAGTCTGCCCTCCCCCCAAAACCAGTCCTTCTTGTCCTGGTGGGGAGGGAGGCTGAGCAGTCAGCAGCCAGGCAAGAGCCTGCCCACTTCGGGAGCAGGTAGCCGCTGGCTGAAGAGGGCGAGGTGTGACAGAGCTGCTCTTTGGGGTGCTCCTTCTGGGTCGCACCCCAGGTCTTCCGCTTGGAGGAGGGAAGCTCAGCCCTGCAGAAGGAGGGCTGGAGTGCAAAGGAGCGACTTTGGTGGGCAGGGAAGGGGCCATCGGTTAAGCTGCTGCGCCTTTATTATAGCCTGTTTTACATCCAGAAGCTGTTTCGGGCACCGTTAACATAGAAAAAGCAGACCGTACAGTAGTCTGGGCTGCGTCTCTCTGCGTACATGAGTAAAATCCACTGCGGTGTGTTTGCCTTGCTGCAAATGTGACTCAACAGTCAGTCCTTTGAGGGGCCACCACCCTTTGCCCGAGTATCCGGCAGTCTCGGCTGGGCTTTATTTGAGGGGCGAAGACTGAGGAAAGGGGAGTCTCCTCTCTGGAAGTGGAACTCCCCGGCCTGCAGTCTTTCTCTTCTGGCCACGCTGGCTTGTGGCTGCGGAGAGTCGCCTGGGGCTGCTCTTCCTCCAGCTAAGAGCGATGTGATGGGGGGAAGAAATGAACTGGAAACCTCCACTAATACCAGCCGGTATTTGCTGATATAAGTGCCACAGGAAGAAAGCGCGTCTTGCCCTTTGGGTGGTGTGAACGTTCCTTCTGTGTGGGCCAGGAAGGCAAACATCTTGTTTCTCATCGTGCTGCAGAGCTGCTGGGATTTTGATGGGGGCCCTTGCAGCCCTTCCCTGCTCTGAGTCCTGCACCCTCTCTCCGTAATTGCCGGTGGGGGTCCCTCCTTTGGGGAGAAGCCACAGGGTGACTTCCTTTTTGCCTCGCAAAGCCGGGCCCCTAGTTTCCCCTTTCTGGCAATGCGGGGATTCTAGAAGAACAATTCTGAGACCTTGCTGAGCTTGCAGAGAAAGTTGACTGCTGCCTCCCTGCCCCTGCCCCCTTCCAGTCCGTTTCTTCCTCTTGGTTTGGAGAGGAGGGCAGCGTTCAGTGCAGGCGCAGGGCAGGGGGTCTACGGCACCTCTGCGTGAGTCATTCGCTTCTCTCAGTGTTGCTGCGAATGGGCGACACAGGCTTGATTCTCCTTCCCCGTGCACATTCTCTTTTTGAATCCTGTACGGTGCAAATGCTGCATTTATATTCCATCTTTCCCCCAAGGAGATCAAAGCCAGGGTGTGGCACTTCTGCCATTTTTATTTACAATGGTCTTGAAAGCATTTTTCCAGCTGCTGGCCTGAGGCAACACAGGTAGTCCCCGGGTTAAGAATTCCCAGTGTACGGATGACCCCTAGTTAAGAACAGAGCCTATTGTAGCAAAATTTGAGATAAATACACAATGGTTTGAGTTAAATACACAGTGGTTCAAGTTCATTACACGCTACTCCTTGTACAGTATCGTACAATCATACTGTTCCGGCTTACGTACAAATTCAACTTAAGGACAGCCCTTGGGGCCAGAACTCATTCTTCAGCTGGGGGCTCCCTGCAGTTTGAGGAGCAGCCATCCCCTTATCCTACACAGAGACCCTGCAGAATGTAACCAAGAGTTGGCGTCTTGTTTCCAGGCAAGGATAAGCACAGACAGACCATCCCTCTTGGATCTGGGGCTTAGTGAGAAACAGCCTCTGGAAATGGGGGACCAAGGACTCGTTTAGCCCCGTTTCCACACAGAAAGCAGCTCTGGGGCGGAGCTCTGCAGGAGCTGGAGTAATGCAGCTGTACTCGCGAGCAGGACGCCGAGGAGCTTACTCAGGCAGGCTTCGCTGCTTCTTGCTGCTGCTCTTTCCAGAGCAGTAGAATTCCCAGCATTTCTGCTGCATTTTCCTCTGCATTCCAAGCCAGGAGCCTCCTGAAGGAAGGGGAAAAAAGAACAAGGGGGAAGGCCCGGCTGGCCCTTGGCCGAAATCTTGCCAGCGGTAGCCACCTTGCAGAGCGCTGCCTGGTTCCCACAGACGGTGTATTTTCCTGCCAAGATCTCAGTATCTTCAGAAATTCAGCAGAGCATGAAGGTCACAACAAGGAAGGAATGACAGCCCCCCCGCCCCATTCTGCTTTTGCTAACAAGCTGTAGGCTGTCCCCTCGGAGCCTGTTGGCAGTCCCAGACGGTGTTGAAGGAGCCTCACCGCCTAGTCTGGATGAGCGAGGGCAGGCCCAAATACATTTCCTCCTCTTGCCCAGGGCTCCAGGGAAGAGACACCCGGCTCTCCTCACCTGGGGTGGCCAGTCAGGAGGTGATATGGGGCGGGGGGAGAGAATTAGGCCAGAGGTGCCTGTGTGATGGGGGTGGGCTATAGCAAGAGGAAAGGGCTTTTGCCAAGTAGCTGTTGGGAGGCTGTCGGAAGGGGCCTCCTAGGGAGGGGAGGACCCCCGCATGGCCAGTCATCCCCGGAGCGCTGGGCACAGGAGGGTCACTGGGACACGCGGCTTGAGTTGCTCCGAAGGCAACCCTGCATTGCAGCAGAGGACCTCTTCTTCCCCTGGACCAGTTTCCCTGCTGTCCTGAGAAAGCCTGGGGTCTGGCGGCTTCCGAACCGGTGGTGGTGGCTCTTCAGTCCCTCGGCCTCTCCGTGTTGCCAGAACCGCCGTGCGGACAGCACTGCGGGCACCCCTGTTCCCAGCGGTTCGCCTGGCCTTCCTTTGGGGCAGGTGCTCGGAATTGCTTCCTGGGCAGTCTGGCTGCAGGGGTTGGCTTCCGTCTGCCTTGCTCACTTCCTACCTTACCTGAGACTGTCTAAGATTGTTGGGGAGTCTAAGGCATGGGTGCTCAGAGTACGTGGGAAAGGCTCACCTTTGGGATGGAGCGAGTATTCAAGGCCACCTTGCTGTTCAAAAAATAGAACTTAGAACGAGCCTGCTCTCAGAGACGCAAGCTCCTGGGTCAGTGATTCTCCGTGGGGTCCTGCACTTCAGACCTTGAAGGACGGGTGTTTGCTTGCTTGCTTGTTTATCATATTTACATAGTTGCCCATCTCACGTAGAAGTGACTCTTTGCTCAGAGTTGCTCAAAGGGTGTAATGTTGCTGCTTCCCAGGCCTCTGCTGAGAAGCACCTTCCCCCCAGGAGCTTAGCAGTAGAAATAGGGTGGGGAGGGAAGAACCCAGGGACATCTCTTGGGGTGGAGCCGTGTGCGAAAGGTGGTTTGGGGCCAAAGGTTTCTGAGGGCTGGGGCCAGTGAAGCTCCAGGTGCACGGCAGGAGCTCCTTGCATGAATCACCTGGGATTCTTGGCTGCCACAGCTGCTCCCCGCTCACTCCAGACTCTGGCACAACCCACAGGCCTCTTGCTGGCCTGCTTTGCCAAGCCGCCTGTTCCGCGGGGGGGTCTGTTGGAGAGCCGTGGCGCTGGGGAAATTTCCAGGGAGGCAGTTCCCAGGCAGACGAGACTGGCGCGGGCAGAGCCAACTTGGACTCCCTCCTTCCCTCCCCAGCACCCGGAGCCCGAGCCGGCAAGCCTTGGGTTATGGAGCAACGATGTTTGGTGATGCTGGGTTCACACCACCCCAGTTCAGCTGGCGAGCGCTCAGAGATTGATTCCCATAGTTCATTAGGTGGATATGTTGATGAAGATGCTCAGTCATCCAGGTGGAATCCTCTGGAGGTTGAGTCACGGCAACTGGACTTCCTTTCTTTTTGGTAGAGACGTTTCGCTACTTGTCCAAGCAGCAAGTAGCAAAACGTCTCTGCCAAAAAGAGAAGAAGTCCAGTTGGTGTGACTCAACTTCCAGATGTTCATTAGGTGGAGCAAGAAAGTCCCCCGCTGCCCAAAGGGTTTCCGTGCTGCTGCTGCTGAGACCCAGCAGAAGTCCACGCTCCTGGTGCAGGACGCAGGTCGGGCACTGCTGGCAGGAGGCAAAGAAGCTGCCACCCTTGAGGACTCTGTTGGCTGCTTCTCCGCATGGGTTGCCAGCCTGGGTGTGTCTCCTTCGCACCCGGGTCACGGTGCAGCTGCCTCTTCGTTTTTTCTCAGTAGCATCAGGGAAGGATGCTTTCAGTCTGACTAGGAATGAAGGGTCCTCGAAAAGCAGCCCTTTGTGCTTTGAGGGGCATCGTCGACCCCAGGGGCGCCAGAGCTCCTTCCAGAATAGACAGGCCTATCTGCGAGCGTCCGGCCGGCCTCCGCCGCTGCCTCCCCGCCGCCCTTTTGTTACCCGACCATTCTTGAAGAAGGACCAGGTATGGCGGGGGCAGCGTTTGTGAAGCTTGGTGCGTGGCGGATCCTGATGGCCTCCCCGGCCTTTGGCACTTAGGGTTCTTCCGTGTTTGGAGGAGCAGATCTCGGAGCTGGAGTTGCTGAGGAGGAGGAGGAGGAGGAGGAGGAAGGCTGCTGCCCCCGGCCTCCCCTAGCAAGCCTTTCCCATCCGCTCCCCTCCCCCAGGGAGAAACAGCCCCGCGGAGTTCCCAGGGCTGAGAAGTGCCGTTGGCAGGTCCTCGGCCCCTGTGGTTATCTGAGGTCACGGACTCAAATAATTGCCGATCAAAACAAGGGCTTGTTTGAGTTGGAAGCCTTGGAGGAGATTGGCAACACCGTGGCGAGGCGCCCTTTCTCTGGGGGCGGTTTGGCGGAGGGCCGCTGGGGGAGTGGGGCCTGAGTCTCCGCGGGGTGGGGGTGGGCTTCGCCTTTTCTCCGGAGGTCTTGGGAGCAGCCTTTCCTCAGAGCGCTGTGAGAGATGCGTTTATCTGGGCCTTTTCCCCGAGTGGTCGCACGCTCGCTCGCTCGCTCACTCACACGGCTTTGCAGCTTCCACACCTCATTTGCACCTCGCGCCCGAGAATCAGTCCCTTGCGCCTGTGCAGGCTTTGCAGCATGGCCTTTGGCAGGAGCACTTCGAGGTGGAA